GAGCTTGGGCTTGACTCACAGGTTCATCTCCTTTGTTTGTGCTTCGTGTCTGTCCTGACAGAGCCATGGCATTGATCTATGTTTAAACCTTAAAGCCTCGTCCTTCTGGGACTGTAGTTGGCAGCTGAACACGTTCCTGTGTTCCTACTGCAGATAAATGCAAAAGATTTCCGAAACTGTTTGAAGTAATTACAGGAGTAATTAGAGAAGCGGCCCCTGTGAGAAATAGACTTGGGACTTTCATTAAGGTGAGACTCACAGGCGCACACCGAGTGTTCCTTTGCTGTGCAGCATACAAGGTCCTTGGGGAGTGGCACAGCATCTGGGAAGCTTTTGCTCAACCCTTCCTAGAGCCAGGTTTAAAGTAAAGAGCAGAGGCAGAGGAAGCTCAGGAGGGGAAGTTTCTTATTTCATTGCTTAGACTCCGTGAGGAGAGATACCAGTAGAAAAATACACCTGGATTGCAGGTACCCCATCTCCCCTGTTTCATTTGTAAAGAAATAGCATGGGATCAGAAAGTGTGTAACTGAAACCATTCAAAAGCTTTTCTGTTTATATCCTAGATTCTGTAACTACATGAATCCAGAATCTTTTAGAAGTAATTATTTGTACCCTGGAATCTTGGTGTAGGAAGAATTTTAGTGCTCATGGGCTCTGTAGCTTTTGATGTACGAGGCAGGAGAGCAGAAGCTGCGGGGCCAGCCGGTGTGGGCCAGCTGCTTGCTGCTCCTGTGTCTCTCTTGGCACTGACCCTGCTGAAATAGGTTCCCCCAGTATCTTCAGCCTGGGACCCTCTCCAGTGTTTCTGCCGATGCCCAGCCGTTTGCTTGTTTCTCCAGGAAATCCTCACTGTCTTTACTGTCAGTGGACTTTCTGCTTCATATAGCTCCCTGCAACCCCAACCCTCTCCCCTACCCCCGTTGAAGAGAGAAATTATGGGAAGGGTGCAACCTGGTATGTCCACAAAATCCCTTTGCTGTGGTGGGTCAGCTGTGTGCCTCTGCCGTGCCGGTCTCTAGTGCTGCCTGTTGGCAAATTGCTGTCTGATACAGATTTTTGGAGGCTGTGGCTGGACCCCATGTGATCATAGAATGAGCTGATGTGCATTGAGTCTCTGTAATTCTTTTAAATAAATAAATCTTAAAAAAACCAGGTGGAGCCGGCGCCGCAGCTCACTAGGCTAATCCTCAGCCTGCGGCGCTGGAACTCCGGGTTCTAGTCCCTGTTGCTCCTCTTCCAGTCCAGCTGTCTGTTGTGGCCCGGGAGGGCAGTGGAGGATGGCCTAAGTGCTTGGGCCCTGCACCCCATGGGAGACCAGGAGGAGGCACCCGGCTCCTGGCTTCGGATCAGTGCAACACGCCGGCCGTAGTGGCCATTTGGGGGGTGAACCAATAGAAGGAAGACCTTTCTGTCTCTCTCTTCTCTCTCTTCTCTCTCTCTCTCTCTCTCTCTCTCACTGTCTAATTCTGCCTGACCAAAATAATAATAATAATAATAATAATAATAAAATAAGGTGTAGGGCCGGTGCTGTGGCTCACTTGGTTAATCCTCTGCCTGGGGCCCCGACATCCCATATGGGTGCCGGGTTCTAGTCCCGATTGCTCCTCTTCTAGTCCAGCTCTCTGCTGTGGCCTGGGAAGGCAGTGAAAGATGGCCCAGGTGCTTGGGCCCCTGCACCTGCATGGGAGATCAAGAGGAAGCACCTGGCTCCTGGCTTTGGATCGGCGCACTTCTGTCCGGAGTGGTCATTTGGGGGGTGAACCAACAGAAGGGAGACCTTTCTCTCTCTCTCTCTCTCACTGTCTATGACTCTACCTGTCAAATAAAAAAAAAAAATCAGGTGGAGAGCGGCATTAGCCGCTTGCTTCTCATTGACAATCCATTAATATGCATATTTAGGGTTGAGCAAAGAAGGGAGCCTGGTCCTTCCTGACTTCTGTGCAGAATTTGGATAACTGTCTTTGCAGTGAAATGGATTGGATGAAGAGCTGGTTATCAATGGCAGCACTAGAGGCAGAGTCCTAGCAGTTCAGACCCGGGAAAACTACTCGTTTGAAAGAACGATGATCACAGTGGATTGTGTTGAAGGTGATGCGCTTGTTTTGAGCTCCCTGGTGTGGATTTCTGTAAGAGCCTCACAGGGAAGGCAGTCGATGGGTGTTAGTGAGAGATAGCAGAGGCCCTCCGTTCTGCTCAGCAGTGCACTGGAGCCCAGGGCTGGCCTCCCCCACTCACCTCATCTCCTGGACTTGGTGCTTGGCCAGCCTGTGCTCTGCAGGCTGCTGACCCATTAAATGCACACACACACCCTGATTTTTAGAGAAATTATCAAAATACTTCCATGAAACTTGGCCTTGAGTAATGGGCCATTTGTGCAAAGTATGTTTAAAAGTTTTACTGGAACACTTGTTTTCTTGTTTCAAGGTTTATGTTGAAAACATTCGCAATTTTAAGAGTAACGTTAGTTCCAGAAAGCGACATCACATATTTTAAAGAAAAGCACTGGGATGGCAGCCTGTGGACCGCAGTGACCAGGACCTGCACCCGGTGCAGGAGTTTGGACACCAGTGAAGACACTGCCGTTTCCCGTCAGAGTGCCTGCATTGGGTCGCCCGCTCTGCTCTCTGTGCTAGCTGCCTGCTAAAGTGAACTCTGCGAAGCCGCAAGTGATGGCTCAAGTGCTTGGATCCTTGCTGCCCGTGGGGAGACCGGATTGAGTTCCAGGTTCCTGCTCCTACCCTGACTGTTTAGGAGCATTTGAGCAGTGAACCCGTGGCTGGATCCTTTGTATCTTTCTGCCTCTCTCTAAAAATTTATTTATTTATTTATTTGGCAGAGTTACAGAGAAAAGGACACACACACACACACACAGACAAGAGAGAGAGAGAGAGAGACATTGAGATCTTCTAACCGCTGGTTCACTCCCCCAAATGACTGCAACAGCTTGTGCTGGGCTGGTCTGAAGCCAGGAGCCAGGAGCTTCTTCCAGGTCTCCCATATGGGTGCAAGGGCCCAAGGACTTGGGCCATCTTCCACTGCACATTAGCAGGGTACTGGGTAGGACATGGAGCAACTGGGACTTCAACCTCTGCCCATATGGGATGCTGGCACTCCAAGCAGCAGCTTTACCCACTACACTACAGCGTTGGCCCCAAGTAAATATTTTTTAAAAACAGCCCCTAACCTATCAAGTTGTACACATTAAAAGTTTTTGTATGTCAATCACACTTCAGTAAAGTGGCTTAAATTTTATTATTTTATTTATAGATTTATTTTATTATTTGAAAGGCAGAGTCACAGAGAGAGAGAGAGGAGGAGACAGAGAGGTCTTCCTGTTTCACTCTAAAGTTAACTACAACAGCCATTGCTGAGACAGACTGAAGCCAGGAGCTTCTTCTGGGTCTCCCATATGGGTACAGGGGCCCAAGCTCTTGGACCATCTTCTGCTGCTTTTCAGGCAGTATTAGCAGGGAGCTAGAGCAGAAGTGGAGCAGCTGGGACTTGAACCAGTGCCCATATGTGATAGCAGCATTGCAGGTGGCAGCCTTACCCACTGTGCTACAGTGCTGCCCCTATTTATTACTATTTTAAGGATATTTATTTGGAAGAGTTACTGGAGGAGGGTGAGAAGGTCAATCTTCCACCCACTGATTCACTCCCCAAGTGGCCGCAATGGCCAGGACAGAGCCAGGCCAAAACCAGGAGTCAGGAGCTGCATCCAGGTTTCCCATATGAGAGGCAGGGGTCCAAGCAACTTGGGCCATCTTCCTCTGCTTTTCCCAGGTCATTAGCAGGGAGCCGGATGGGAAGTAGAGTAGCCAGGCAGGGCTTGAACTGGCAGGAGCTTTGCCTGCTGTACTACAACAACGGCTTCCAATTTTTAAAATTATTTTTAAAAAAGGCTTTCAAGGTAGTTAGACAATTTCTGCATTTACTAATTTCAGATAGGTCCTGTTCCCTGATAAGCTCTCAGTGCCAAAGCCATTGGTGTGCAGTGGACGCACGGTGCCATGGTGTGAAGTGGACAGATGGTGCCATGATGTGAAGTGGACACATGGTGCCACAGTGTGCAGTGGACACACAGTGCCATGGTGTGAAGTGGACACATGGTACCATGATATGCAGTGGATGCACAGTGCTATGGTGTGAAGTGGACACACGGTGCCATGATGTGCAGTGGATGCATGGTGCCATGGTGTGCACTGGACACACAGTGCCATGGTGTGAAGTGGACACATGGTGCCATGATGTGAAGTGGACACAGGGTGCCATGGTGTGCAGTGGATGCACAGTGCCATGGTGTGAAATGGACACACGCTACCATGATATGCAGTGGACGCGCGGTGCCATGGTGTGAAGTGAACGCACGGTGCCATGGTGTGAGTGGACACACGATGCCATGGTGTGCAGTGGACGCACGGTGCCATGGTGTGAGTGGACACACGATGCCATGGTGTGCAGTGGGAAGACAGTACCACTGGTGTCCAGGGCAGAGTAGATGCCTGTTTTCCCTAGTATGTATGTCTGTTGGAACATCCATGGCTTATGTAAACTTTAAATTTAAATGGCAGGAATATCAGAAAAGAGGCCTAAGAGGGATCCCAGTGCTGGGGGTCCCCAAAGACACTGTTGTGAGCAAGACTTTCTGATCCTCTTGGGCCCCCTGCCAGGCGGTCCAGCTTTCTAGGTAGGGATCTTTTTCAGGGACTTGTGGCAGGTGGCCAAGAAACATGTATGAATTTCCATCATCTTTTTGTTCCCAGTGCTATCTTAACTGCACAAAGATCTTCTTCACAGAAAACTTGGTGTCCGCTTGCCCAGTGGGTTTTGCTGCTACTTTCTCCAGGGTTGCAGGGACCAGAAAGCTTCCGTGTTCCTGAGAAAGTGTCGCTCCTGGTCATCGGTTCACTCCCCAGTGCCCTTAGGAGCAGGGAACTCCACCCAGACCTCCCACAGTGACAGGAACCCCACTGCTCCATCACCCAGACCTCCCACGGTGACAGGAACCCCACTGCTCCATCACCCAGACCTCCCACAGTGACAGGAACCCCACTGCTCCATCACTCGGACCTCCCACAGTGACAGGAACCCCACTGCTCCATCACTCGGACCTCCCACAGTGACAGGAACCCCACTGCTCCATCACTCGGACCTCCCACAGTGACAGGAACCCCACTGTTCGTCACCCACACCTCCCACAGTGACAGGAACCTCACTACTGCAGTCACCCAGACCTCCCACAGTGACAGGAACCCCACTGCTCCATCACCCAGACCTCCCACAGTGACAGGAACCCCACTGCTCCATCACCCAGACCTCCCACAGTGACAGGAACCCCACTGCTCCATCACCCAGACCTCCCACAGTGACAGGAACCCCACTGCTCCATCACTCGGACCTCCCACAGTGACAGGAACCCCACTGCTCCATCACCCAGACCTCCCACAGTGACAGGAACCCCACTGCTCCATCACCCAGACCTCCCACAGTGACAGGAACCCCACTGCTCCATCACCCAGACCTCCCACAGTGACAGGAACCCCACTGCTCCATCACTCGGACCTCCCACAGTGACAGGAACCCCACTGCTCCATCACTCGGACCTCCCACAGTGACAGGAACCCCACTGCTCCATCACCCAGACCTCCCACAGTGACAGGAACCCCACTGCTCCATCACTCGGACCTCCCACAGTGACAGGAACCCCACTGCTCCATCACTCGGACCTCCCACAGTGACAGGAACCCCACTGCTCCATCACCCAGACCTCCCACAGTGACAGGAACCCCACTGCTCCATCACCCAGACCTCCCACAGTGACAGGAACCCCACTGCTCCATCACCCAGACCTCCCACAGTGACAGGAACCCCACTGCTCCATCACTCGGACCTCCCACAGTGACAGGAACCCCACTGCTCCATCACCCAGACCTCCCACAGTGACAGGAACCCCACTGCTCCATCACCCAGACCTCCCACAGTGACAGGAACCCCACTGCTCCATCACTCGGACCTCCCACAGTGACAGGAACCCCACTGCTCCATCACTCGGACCTCCCACAGTGACAGGAACCCCACTGCTCCATCACCCGGACCTCCCACAGTGACAGGAACCCCACTGCTCCATCACTCGGACCTCCCACAGTGACAGGAACCCCACTGCTCCATCACCCAGACCTCCCACAGTGACAGGAACCCCACTGCTCCATCACTCGGACCTCCCACAGTGACAGGAACCCCACTGCTCCATCACTCGGACCTCCCACAGTGACAGGAACCCCACTGCTCCATCACCCGGACCTCCCACAGTGACAGGAACCCCACTGCTCCATCACTCGGACCTCCCACAGTGACAGGAACCCCACTGCTCCATCACTCGGACCTCCCACAGTGACAGGAACCCCACTGCTCCATCACTCGGACCTCCCACAGTGACAGGAACCCCACTGCTCCATCACCCAGACCTCCCACAGTGACAGGAACCCCACTGCTCCATCACCCAGACCTCCCACAGTGACAGGAACCCCACTGCTCCATCACTCGGACCTCCCACAGTGACAGGAACCCCACTGCTCCATCACTCGGACCTCCCACAGTGACAGGAACCCCACTGTTCGTCACCCACACCTCCCACAGTGACAGGAACCCCACTACTGCAGTCACCCAGACCTCCCACAGTGACAGGAACCCCACCACTGTAGTCACCCAGACCTCTCACAGGGTTGACAGGAATGACAGGAACCCCACTACTCAAGTCATCACTCTGCCACCCAGAGTGTGTCTGTCTGGAAGCTGGATCAGGAAGTGGAGCTGAGAGTGCAACCCAGGCACCATGATGTGGGACCTGGAAGTGGCCTAACTGGCATCTTTATCACTAGGCTACACACGCTCCCGCTTGGCTTTTTTAAAATGTTTATACAAACATATATATGTATGTATGTGTATGTATGTGCACACACACACACGCACATACATCCTGGGAAGTGGCCTTAAATACCGCCTGCAAAAATGCAAAAATAATATAGCGACTAACACTTTATAGTACTTACACCATAAGCATTAGAAACATGCTTTTATCTGTATGAATTCATTTATTCTTCATAACAACTTTGTCTTTTACTCATTGTTTTTATCCCCATTTTGCAGAAACAAAGTCTGTAACTTGCTGCAGACAGCTGGCTGCAGTGTTGGTGCCCTGAGCGCTGTGAGTTAGAGGCAGCACACCTCTGAGCCGACCCTTGCGTTCTCTGATGTGTGCTGCGGACGACTTGTCAGCTGGCACATCTTTAGGGACAAATATTCACAAGTTAGTCTTAGGTACACAGTTAATGTTCATTTATTCAGAATTTCCATTTTTATTCCTGTTTACCTGAATAGAATTATCAGAATACAGATGCACGAGGTTGTCTCTAAGGGACTAAATGCCAAATTAGCCTGCCCGTAGTATGGAAAGTGGGTTTCTTCATGAAGGGTTTTTCTCTTTTTCCCTTTGCCTCGTCTTGTGAGCACTTTGGGAGGCGTGCCTGTCTGGGCTGCTGGCCTGGCAGATGCGCGCCGTCTTCCATGGGAGCTGAGTCACCGTGGCTCCTCTGGTGACTGCCGGAGCTCCTTTGCCCTGCAGAGAAAAGTAAGTCGTCACTTCCTGAAGCAGTCCTTGTTCATCTTAGGCGCTGGGCACAGCTGTCCTGTGGTGCTGGTGATTGGAACAGACGTTTTCATGACCGCGCGGGAACTTGGAGGACTGTGCGCCTTCTGTGTGTGAACCTTCTTCAGGATCATTTCAGCCAGAGACCTCGTCCCGCTGGCTCTGTGCATTGTGGCTGTGCCCTCCCCCAGTGCTGTCCTGTACTGGTTTTAAATGTTGGTGCCTTGAGAGCCCAGAATGTTCCATGCATTTTTGTCTCTTTCTGACATTACAGAGCAACTCACCTAGAGCAGGTAGCTAAATATTTGTTGGATGTGGGAGTAAGCTGGCCAGCGTGCAGTGGTCTGCTGCTGACTGACTACCGCATGCTGGTGGTGACAAAATCCCTCTAAGAAATTCTGTCAGCTGATGTCAGCCTGTTCCCCTTGACCTCGTTGCCTTCACGGAGTGAAGTTGTTCTTATTTCCATAGATGGTCATTTGAAAAGGAGTTTCTTCTTGGCTCTTCCTTTCTTTTTCTGTTCATTGCCAAGACCTTCTTGCCTACCGCACCCCCTGCAGGCCCCCCCGCCCCCGGAGGCAGGGTGTGCACGTGGGTGTGCTGCTGTGGTCTCTGCAGGATCTCTGACAGATCGACTGCACAGAGGGGCAGTCACGTGGGTTGCAGGTGCTCAGTTCAGGGTGGTGGTTCTTGTTCTCTGTCAGTGCTTTTACTTCTCAGAGTTGATCAGATTTGCGGTCCTATTTACCTTTATTGCCATCCTATTACAGCACCTTGCATGTAAGAGTTCACTGAAGGTATTCTCTCTAGCAGGAAAAATATCTTGTGGAGAAACCAGAAAGTTGAGTATACACTTTATAAGACAGAACTTAACTTTTCTGGGGCTGGTTTGAGACCCGGCTGCTCCACTTCCAATCCAGCTCCCTGCTAATTTGCCTGGGAAAGCACCCACATGGCTCCTGCCTGGCCCAGCTGCAGTGGCCATTTGGGGAGGGAACCAGAGGATGGAAGAGCCTGCGCTCTGTCTCTCTCTCCCCCTGTAACTCTGGTTTTCAAATAAATAGAAAATAAATCTCTAAAAAAAAAGATCAAAAGGACTTTCCCTCATGGAATGGTAGAATCTTTAAATCCAGGTTTCTTTGCACTACAGCTGCCCCAGAATTACCCTCACCAAGACCCCCGACATTTGCATGGCAGAATCCAGGTCTGTCTTCTTGGCCTCGTGTGGCGTTTGATCGTTCTGTCTCTGCGGTGCTTAGTTCTTTTCCCCGATTCTACACCTGGGTTGGTTCCCAGTCGCCAGCATTCAACACGCACGTTGTACTGCTTACCGTGGCTCTGCTTGACTTCCTCTGAGACGCTCCAGAGTCCCCGTGTCTAGCATGAACTTCTTGTCTACCCGGTTGCACCTGCCAGGACAGGCCTCTTTTCTTTTATGCTCCCATCCTCAATGCCCAGTGTTTGGCTAGTGTTAAATATTTCTGGCTTGCACTTCATGCCCTGAATTCCAGCTACCAGTGTCTCTCACCCGGCTTCTGTAGCAGTGTTGTGAGCAGTCTGCAGTCCATACACATGGGCACAGACTGGGTAGGAAAAACAGCCCACGGACATGAATCCATTTGAAGCTGCTATTTGATGGTGGAGCTAGTGTGCTGAAGAATAAGTGTGGAGAGATCATATCCTCCTCACCATTAATTTCTTAGGAGGAAAAATGGAAGGATACTATTTGTAGCCATTTTACTCAAAACTTTACACTTACAGGCTTCATGATGTTAGTAAGATTTTGACACAAGAGAAATTCTTGTATCATACTATGTAAGTGTCATGGAAAACTTAGAGTTGTACTTCTCTGTGCTCATCTGTCTTATGTGGTGTTCATCGTCATGCTAGAAAGGGTTGTGGCTGGAAGTTACAGTAAATACAGCTTACTCCGGATAGGACTTCGGAGCTGGTGGCAGGTGGAGCCATGGCCATCACACAGGACTCCTGGGTTGAGTAGGAAGACACCACCGGCCCACAGTGTGACTTCCATGAGAAGCGTCCATAGTCCTTCTGTGTTGTCCAGAAGGTGGGTGCGGCTCATGGAAGGGCTGAGGGTGCTACTGGGGTTTTTCTGGCACCCCTCTGGGTTCTGTTGTCAGCCTTGCCTGTCAGGATTCTGTGTGACACAGGGTTTGAAGGAATAGTGGCTACTTCAGTATCCAGATTGAGGATGCTCTTTGTAGGCTAAAATGGTAACTTAAAGCAGAGGAGAGCATTCGGATTTGTGGGATGCAAAGGAATTTCAGAATAAATAACGCAAGATTATAGGGTGTGGAGACCTATTCTAACGTAAATCAAATGCAAAAAAGGTATAGGAAGTGAATTTGCTTCCCCAAAGGCCCATCTATCTAGCAGGGTGGTGTAGGTGTTTAGAAACCACTTGGATCTCCCTCATCCCCAGGTTCCCATTTCCTCTTCAAAGAAGCAGGTGTGGCCAGGTGTCCTGTGGGGAGCAGCTTGGGAATCTTGATCCAGAGGGTGGGGAGCTGTGGGGGGAGCTTCAGAGATGTGAAGGGAAAACTAGGGTTGTCACAGCCATTCATTCTGAAGAAGGCCTGGGTGGTGATTCTCAGTGTCTTGTGGGTGTGTTCGTTCTGATTCTTGTAGGATGTCACTGCAGTGAGAAGCAGCTAAAAACCTGTAACATCAAGCACTTTGCTGACACATAACTTGAGCGATGTGTGTAATAACACATTCGGTACCTGCTTTCTAAACCAGGGTCACTAGTCATCGTTATTTAAAAGATAACATTTCTTCCTGTCCTTTGGCATTAGTGTCAAGTCAAGTGTGAGAATATTGATTTTCTTCCCTCAAAATTTAGTGTCTGTTTCCTCCACTGTGGGTTTTTTTTTTTTTTTTTTTTTTTTTTTTTTTTTTGACAGGCAGAGTGGACAGTGAGAGAGACAGAGAGAAAGGTCTTCCTTTGCCATTGGTTCACCCTCCAATGGCCGCCGCGGCCGGCGCGCTGCGGCTGGCGCACCGTGCTGATCTGAAGGCAGGAGCCAGGTGCTTCTCCTGGTCTCCCATGGGGTGCAGGGCCCAAGCACTTGGGCCATCCTCCACTGCACTCCCGGGCCACAGCAGAGAGCTGGCCTGGAAGAGGGGCAACCGGGACAGAATCCGGCGCCCCGACCGGGATTAGAACCCGGTGTGCTGGCGCCGCAAGGTGGAGGATTAGCCTAGTGAGCCGCGGCGCCGGCCTCATTTCTTTTAATTGGAGGCATTTCCCACATAGCAGAATGTGGTATGTGGAGGAAAGAGGGATGAGCTGTGGCACCGAGCTGGAAGCGCACTAGTTTACCAGCTAGCTGTGTGATCTTATCCAGTTGGAACTCGGAGCGTTACTTTATTCCTCTGTAAGCGGACAGTACAGTCTCAGCTGTGGCTGTTATGAGGCACAAGTGAACTGAGTGTGGAAGCAAACGGGAGGCCCTCGGTGATAGCCTCATTGCTCTTGCTCCAGAACACCTGTCACAGATCACAGAGAGGGCCGTGTCCCAGCATTAGCTGTCCAGCTGAAATCCATCCAGCCTTCTCCCTTTCTTCTCTCTCCCCTCCTTTTTCAGAAAGCTGTTGATTATTGTAAAATTTAACATCTCTTACCTGTGAAGAACACACTTTAAAAAAAGAGATTTATTTATTTATTTGAGAGGTAGAGGCAGCAAGAGAGAGGTCTTCCACCCGCTGGTTCACTCCCTAAATAGCTGCCACGGCCGGAGCCAGGAGCTTCCTCCAGCTCTCCCAAACGGGTGCAGGAGCCCAAGGATTTGGGCCATTTTCTATTGCTTTCTCAGCTCACAGCAGAGAGCTGGATTGGAATTGGAGTAGCCAGGTCTCGAACTGGCGCCCATATGGGATGCTGGCTATGCCACAGCTCTGGCCTCAAGAACACACTTTTGTGGAGAGACTTTCTTTTTTCTTCCATCTGTTGCTTCTGCTGTCAGAAGCCCTGCTGCTGCAGTTGTGCTGTCTTTAGAAAGGTTTCTCTCGCAGGGGCAGTGGTGTTAGAGCAGTGGCTGGGATGCTGCACTTAGACCATGTTGTCCCCCCCTTGACCGTGTCACCCTTCCTGGGAGTCAGTGGAATACCAGCGGGGAGCGTGGGGACCAGCCCTGCTCAAAGGCCTAGCTGGAGCCTGGAGAGGAAGCCTGCCTCTTGCTCTCGCACC